ACTGTGTTTCATTTTCTCTTTAAACTGTTTCCACTTGAAATTCAGAATTATCTTCTGTGTTAAGAGTCAGATCTTTGAGGCTGTGTCATTGGGAGACTTGGGGGAAAGAAGGTTGAAAAAGCAAATGCTTACTCTCTTTTGGGACACTGACTGTCGGAAGCTGTTTCTGTGGGGCTGCAATCGGAACCAGCCAAGCAACCTTGGGTCCATTCCTGAGTCAGGGAGTGTAGATGAGGGAAAAACTAGCTAATGGAATTAAGAAACCGAAACACAGGATAGTCTCAGAAGAGCAGATTCAGTCCATACTGAACACCCCGTTTATTTCATCCCTCCAAACTTTAAGTAATCAACCAAAGGAGAAGTCAATCGCAGAGGACTCCTATCATTATGTATAAAGGGCTAATAGCAATTACTTCCCCTAATCCCAAAGGCACTCCATAACTGCACGTACTCTCTGCCTGCAGGATGAGTGTGAAGCTGTCTGGGTCCGAGCGTATTGTTATTTAGATAAGAGCCACATCCTGTAGACAGTAACCTAAATGTCTTTAGGACAACAGAAAAGTTCTGCGCTCTCTGGCAGATATGGAATGGCAATATGGAATGGATCCCATATATGGTCCCGACCACCAACCACACTTCCCAGTGATATTCTACTTTCTTCTCTGATTTCTACCCACAGGGGTGGAAGTTAATGTGATGTGTGAAGCCTGGGTGGGCAGAGTAAGAATTTCAAATGAAGTCTTCAGGTCTGATGGTCTGATGGTCTCCCTTGACTGTCATTGTTGCCTCCCTGGCTCTAGCTCTACCTCCTGAGTTTGATGATGAGATAGTGTGATCCCAAAGTCGCGATGATTGCTATACATCCCTGAGATTTGTATCTGGCCCCAGAATTAGAAGGAATCATAAAACAAAACTAACAGGATAACAGCACAAGGGCTGATCTCCCTTACCATACAGCACCAATGGGGTCCTGCCAAACACAGCCATTTTGTTACTCAACCCATAAGTCCTTGGCCCTTTTCTAGGCTCAGTAATTAGAAAGCAAACCCATTACTTCCATGAAACTCATCTGAATAATGGAGGGAAAATAGGGCTCAAATCAAGATATATGAATTGTAGTTCAAGAGAAGGGAACCAAAGCATGAGAAAATGGTGTTTCTAAGGCCTCCTCTCCTTACTTTTCAGTCAGGGTAAGAAATTTAGTATTCGATCTCTGTATCCAGCTACTGTGTTTTTCTTAGAAAGCCTTCTCTATAAATTGGGAGTTACATTTTACATCCTAAAGTCAGCAGTCTGTCACCCTCTCTTGCCCTGCTTCAGCCCTGTCCAGACACCTTTTAGATGGAGATTTCCTGCTCACTCATTTCCAAACATTTAGCTACTATATGCTCAAAAGAAAAGGACATTCTGCCACTCAGCCCCCTGTCTCATCAGGGACAACTTTGTGATTCTCTGAACTGCAGGCTCTATAGGCTGAGATGCAGGCTGCCAGTCAAAGCACAGATGTTCAAGCTCAGGCCCAGGGCTAGTCCCAGACTGGTTATCTGTAAAGCAAGGTTATAATGTGCTCTTGGAACACCCGGCAGATGTTTTTTGGAACTGGTACAAAGCTCTTTGTGGAGCCTCGTAAGTTGACTTTTTTCTATGTTTCTGTGGATAATTTGAGCCCTGAGACTAGAGCTAGCACCCAGATTATATTATAAATTATAACTAGTAGATTCGTTCACATATCAGATAGAGTGGAGCAGATGGAAGTGGACCAGCGAGAGGAAACTGAACTGCAAACATGAGTCTGTAACTATTTTTATTTATAATATATAGATATCAAAACTCTAGTCCTCATTTATTTCTTAAATCTTCAGATCAACCTAGAAAACAGAGGAACCTTTATTAAATTATACTAATAAAAGTATCACTGGAAGGAAGGGAGGGAGGTAGTCACAGGAGCACTTGGGCTCAAAGTCCCCAGGAAACAGTTTACTTACTGCACATACCTTTGGCTAAGCTGACTAGTCACCTTATCTGCCTCCTTATAGAGCACAAATATCCCACCGCTAGGAAGGCTTTGGAGGGAGGTAGTTAACCAGGTGAGAATAACCAGGGAGAGCAAACTTTAAAGCCTCAGTGAAATCCCAGACTAACAAAGAGCCTTGGAATTCTGAGTGACTGTATTATAGGTGTCACAATTCTTAAAGAACCAGTAGGATGCTCTGTGTGGTTCTACAGTGGATGATGGTTAAGCTTGTAAGTCATAAAGAGCATTTAGAGAGGGCGTTCCCTCATCCTTCTGCTGTTTGCCAGCATGTAATCTTAGCACTGTATAAGTGCTCATAAGAGAATGTCTGAAAATAAAATGGTATTGTCCAAGTAAATACTCTTGAAAGAAAGTGTTGAAATATAGTCATATTCGTGGAATAATAAGAGACTGTTCTCAAAAGATAAACAATGAATCTTCCATTTAAGTGTTATCTTCAAATATTTGTTTAAATCAAATACAAAATAGACTAAGTTCCATATGACAACTACATGGAATACATTCTACTTATTTAAAAAAGAAAGGATCAACTCAAATCAGGTATCTGTTTTCTTTAGTCACCATACCAATCAGAGGCCAATAAATTGAATAACTTTTCTTTCAGTTATATTAAACATATGGATCTTAACTTAGGGAGAGAGGCTGAGAAAAAGTTTTACTAAATCAACATACTGTGTTCAATTTGAAACCTCAACAAATATGTTCAAGTCTCAGCATGTATGTGCATGGATGTCTTTGGACATCCACCTTGTCATTTATATTTTAATATTCATGTTACTCAGAAATAATCTTCCTAACCTAAAATGTTAATTGATAACTTCTTGATGCATATATATTTTAAAATCCCACACAAGCAGCTAGGCCCAAAAGCACACACCAATAATTTTAGCACTCAGCAAGCTGAGGCAGGAGGATTGAATGTGCCTTAACTACTTAGAGAGACTCTGTCTCAAACAGCAACAATCCAACCAAGTCTCCACTGTCCAACTTATTCACATTGAATCATACTCTTGAATAACTGACAAAACGGGTTTGAGTTTGCTTTGGTTAGTCTGATTTTTTTTTAATTGAATAAATTTCTAACTCCTAACTCTCTTGAAAATCAACCACAATACATCTCAAGCCACAAACTGGGTAATGAACAAGAAATACCATGCTCCTGAAAAGAGACAAGTAATGAAGACTTGTGGTTTCCAGCCGTTAGTGTTGGGGTTATCAGTTTTGCTGTCAGTGACTTCTAGTGTGTGAGGAAGAAGAAGAAAGAAAAAAGCAAAGGTTTTCTCATGAGGGTTGAGAGTGGATAATTCTAAGAAACTCTTTGAAAAGAAGAAGAAAAAAGAAACCAATCTTGTTTAGAACTAAAGCCCAAATAGTCAAATTCTTGGGAATTTGTCTCCTGCCCTGGGTGCCAGAACAGATCCCAATCTTCCATTTGAGCTTCTTGGTGAAGAGAAAAAAATGTAGAACTATGATGCAGTCATGAGGAAGCTGGGTCAGGACATCTTCTTCCTTTGGACATCCCTGATCAGTCATGATCTAACTATACTGTGGGGATCAGCAGGGACCTCCTCACTAACAGTCATTCCTCTCAACCAATCGGACCAAGTGATTTGGTTGTGGCTTTACTACCATGGACCCCATTGCTAAAACTCAAACCCAGACTTTGGATAAAGCATTAGAAACGTCAATTCTTTTCTATACTTGCATGTGCACAACAAAGATTTTATGTTTAGTAAGAGACCTGGTGTCTTGATCATAACCCATAAGAGATTTGAAACAAAAAAAAGTACATTGAATTTCAACATAGTTTTCATTTGATACCAACAACCCCAGCTCTTTGTTAGTAAATACTATGGGCTCTGTTCACAAGCGAAATTACTGTTGAAAGCCAGAAATTAATCTTAGGATTAGACATCTGTTCCCAGGTCAATGGCCATTCTTTATTGTACGTAGTAACAAGGCTCTGTCTTAATGGTTATTTGAAGATAATGCAGAATCCAAGGCTCTATGAACACAAAATTTATCACAGTTTAGAAGCTTCACCAGGTAGTATAAGATACACAATGCAAAATATGAGTCCTTCTCATAATCTCCGAGAGCTCCTATATTTAAAACTAACCAACTGACACAGATTGGTATTCAGCCTGACCTCAGTTGTCCAACAAATTAACAAATCATAGACAGATAAAATCCAGCTTATCCAAAAATGTCATTAATTTTTAATGCTTGTGTGAGCACAGGTACACATGTGTGTGCAGATTCATACATACATGCACACATGAAAGCCAAAGGACAACATTGAGTATTATCCTCAGAAAACTGTCTACCTTATTTGAGACAGGGTCTCTTTTTGATTTGAGTTCACCAATTAGGCTAGACTGGCTGGCCAGCAAGCCCCAAGGATCTCCTGTCTCTGCCTCCCCAATGATGACATTACAAGTACATGTCACCATGCACGGCATTTTTATGTGGGTTCTTTCTAGAAATCAAATTTCAGGTCTTCATGTTTGCAGACCAAGTACTTTACCAAATGAGCTATCCAGCCTGTTTTGGGTTAGGTTTTGAATTGGTTTAATACAGTGTATCATATAGCTGAGAGTGGACAGGTACTCAAGGCTAATCTAGAACTCCCGATCCTCCTGCCTCTACCTCCCTTCTGGAATAAGTGATATATAGCACTATGGTATATTTATGCAGTGCCAGGGATCACACCCAGGACCCTGTACTAGAGTCTCAGTTCTAGAAACTTCTTTATAGTCGTTATACCCCTTCTCATTTCCAACCCTATCTCATTTCAGTTAGAAATCTAACTAACTGTCCTCTCTTTCCTTTCACCTTGTCCACACTTCCATGAAATGCTATCATGGATGAAACTAACAAGGTATATAACCTTCTAGATTCTAGCCAACACTTATTTAATTCTCATAAGGCTGTAAATTGTCACCTTAGCTGGTTATACTTTCAGAAATTCAGCCTCCTACCAAACCATCTGTTTTCGTCATGAAAAATGGAACGAAAGTTGCCTGTCTGGTGAAGGATTTCTACCCCAAGGACGTGAATATAAGTCTCAGATCATCCAAGAAGATAGCAGAATTTGACCCTGCTATAGTCATCTCCCCCAGCGGGAAGTACAGTGCTGTCAAGCTCGGCCAGTATGGAGATTCAAAGTCAGTGACATGCTCGGTTCAGCACAACAGTGAAACTGTGCACTCAACTGATTTTGAAACACTTGAAAATTCTTTTGGTGAGTATCTAGCTTGAAGGAGCAAAGATGGAAAAACTGGAGGAAAGAAAAGTGATCAGTGTGAACCCAGCACTGATCACTTTTGATTTAGCATTGTGCCAGGGCAGGGGGTGCTCATCTCTGGCTAAGAAGGAAACATTCTGTATCTCTCCTCTTATTTAATCCCAGTCCCCCATATTCACTAACCAGAGTCTTTTTCATAGAAATGTCTGGCACTAAATGTATCATGACTCTAGCACAAATCCTAAAATTCCACAAGGGTGGCTGTCTCACCACAGGATTGAAAACCCTTGTTCTGCCTACAAGTTAGAGAGCATCGTGGTGTCGTCCTGATGATGCTAAATGGCCCTAAACAGGAGGAATCATGTCTATATAAACAGCTATATGACCTTCTTGTCCTCAGTTTACCAACTTAGAGTCTCCTCCTTTTGCCAACATAATCTTGAACACTGTTGTTTTTTCTAGATAATATAAAACCACCAGAAGAGGAAAATGTCACACAAACTTCAGAGACTTGTCATGGCTCAAAAGGTTAGTTCAAATCAAGTGGTTAAAACAAATTCTGTCATTGTCACCTGAGATCTCAAAGCATCATATTTCAAAAGAAAAAAAAAAAAAACATACTGAGTCCACTGGCCGTCATTCCAGCAGAGGTTGCCAGGCCGTGAGCCGCTACTTCCAAAACTGGCCTGTCTGGTGGGTACAGGAGCCTTAGAGTTCTTGGTGCTGTCTGGCACCACACTGGGTGTGCAATCCAGCAAGAACTATGGGCATTTGGAGCACACTGGTGACAGTTAATTGGCCCTGTAGAAAGAAATTTGGTCTTTTCTTAAGCCACTGTTTTACTTTTGTTCCATCATAGTTCACACCAAGAAGGTAAACATGATGTCCCTCACGGTGCTGGGGCTCCGAATCCTGTTTGCCAAGAGTGTCGCCATCAATTTTCTCTTTACTGCCAAGTTATTCTTCTTTTAAGGTAAGAATTAGTCACTCTACACTCCTAGGTCCACCCTAATTTTGCTATAAATTAATTGTAAAGGAGGTTTGGAAACTGTAACAAACAAGGAAAGTGTGGTGGTATAGTTCCATGATTTTAGCACTTGAGATGATGAGGCAATAGGATTGATATGAGTTCAAGGCCAGCCTGGGCTATACAGGATCAAGCCAGCCAGGACTATATAACAAGACCTTATTTCAAAAAGAAGAGAGAGAGAGAAAGAGAGAGAGAGAGGGGAGAGAGAGAGAGGAGAGAGAGAGTGGACTTGCCTATGAAGTTCCTCTTCCCTGGGCCTGGAGCAATTGCTCAGTGGCTAAGAACACTGGCTGCTCTTCCAGAGAACAAGAGTTCAATACCCAGTAACCACATGACAATTCACAATCGTGTAACTACACATACGTGGTTCACAGACATACATGCAGGTAAAACACCCACATTCATAAAATAAATAAAATAAATACTCCTCTCCATTATCTTTCCCAGTATATGCAAATGTTCATCAATTCTGTTCAAGGAATGACCCTAGATTGATTGGTTGGATTGATCCGTAAGTACAGACAATCATTGCCAAATGGGTATCTTGCCCCACCTGATTTCGCTCACAGCCCAGTGGTTACAGGCAACACAGCAGTATAAAGAATCAGAAAACTGAGTTTTAGTTCTGACCTTCTGACTAGATCTCTGATACCATGGCCAGTTTGCTTATCCTCTCGGGGTCTGGGTTTAAGAATGGTTACAACAAAGCAAATAGGGTTGATTACTATACTGACCAGCAGAACCACTGCCATGTTAGCTGCAGCATGTTCCACAATTGATTAAGGATGTCTGTAGTGGTGTAGCATAGTAGATACCTGCCATCCCAAAATGTTATCACTCCTACAACCCTTTCCAGTGCTCAGGGTCTGTGATTCTGCAACAATTTTCCTTTACTTACAGGCCGGCTGGCATGAGGAGACTACAGTTCCTGAATGAAATCAAAAGCTTACAAAGATGCTATATCCAAGGTTACCAACTCCTTAATGCTTCAAACGACCCATCACCACTGCTTCTAAATGGCTGCTAACAAAATCAGCTTTTCTGTGAAGGCAGCAAACCTAGCTAATCCTCCAGTGTAGTAGCAAAGCAAAAGCCTTGGGGAGTGAGACTTGTGGGCCTGGCTTTACACACTGCCTTATAAAGGCATGGAAAGCTATGAAAACATAGATCTATTTTATTTTACCCCCATAACTGGTATACTTCCAGAATGTTGTTCCATCCTTCTTCATTTACCCAGAACTAGAAAGTGGGGACTAGTAAATCACCCACTTAATTACCCAGGAGGAAAATGGTCTTGGGAGAGAGAATATTTATCTTTCTAGCTAAAGGTGGAAAGCTGCACTCAACCCACATCTAGCCAGCGCCCCCTCCTCCTCTCCTGGGCCACCCTCAGTGTATGCCCCACCCTGTGTATTTGCTTCCACAGCCATGCAGGAGAGTTTAGCCCCTTCTGCTTCTCCTAATACTTTACAGTCATGTTCGGCTTCCTTAATGCTCTCCAAGTAGGCAATAAAGCTTCTACAATCACATCTGATTATTCTCCACTCTATTACCAAACATGAAAGTAAAATACAGAGAGGAAGGACACCGCTTTCTGTGAACTGACTTCACCGGTACAAACTGGCAGTGTGGAGGGTGCAGAATTAAGACCTGTGCCCAGCCTGCCAACGTCTCACTGTGCAAGTGTTTTGGAAGCAGGGACAGGAATGTGACCCCTCTCTTTCCCTGTGAAGGCAGCACCTTTATTGTCTGTTGCTGGCCAATTTTGACATCATTTGGGACCAGATCCTTTCACCTCAGTCTTTGATGACAGTGCTTTTCTGCTTTTCTTCTCTGGTCTGCCCCCGTTGCATTTATTAAGCTGCTCACCTCTGCCATCATTCATTGTGGACTACCAGGAGAAGAGGGTACTCAGCTCTATTGAGCTAAGAGTCTGCTGGAAGCCAGCCTGAGCATGCCAGTCACACCACAGCTTCCTGATTCGCAGGCCCAAAGTTCCTGTCTGGGGTGGGGGAGTGGTTTCCTGCTGCTGTTAGAACAGCAGCACCTTCCCTGTGGTGTTCAGCTCTGTTAATCCCAGCTCAGAAAGGCCACAGCTTTATTGGTATACCAAGGTAGCAAGCTTAGCAGCTCAGCACTGTGGTTTCCTCAGCTCCTATGAGACGCACAACGCAGGGATCATGGTGTGACAAGGGAAAGAGCAATTATCATGAGCAATTCTCCTGCCACCATCAACCATAAACTCCAAACCAGAGGAAGTAGTGATGCTGGGAGTTGCTGGGTTCAGGAAATCTGGATGGATAAGCCAGGTCTACCTAGGAAACAGAGGTTGCAGCATTCCACACTTCGCCTGGGATGTAGGAAGAGTGCTTAGTCCCAAAACACACTTCTGTGACATCAAAGAACCACTCTGGAGTTGTTAGAAAAGATCACATCCTCGTTTTTCAACTGAAACAAAACATTTGCCCTGCCTGCCCCACCCCCTGGAAAAAAAAATTGTTTGGTTTGTCAAAAGTCATTCAGTGAGGCAGAGATATTGCTGGGAATGGAACCAAGGTCTCGAGACTGTCAGCCCAAAGTTACTGTCTCATGAGCTCACTGCATCACCAAAATGAGGATCATGTGTCAATCTAAGTGTCACCACTTTGAGCTTCAGGACTGCCTCTTGTCAACAACAAATGAGACAGTTCTGACCCAGCACGCCAGGAAAAATAAAATCTTAGCACATCACAGGATTATAAATTTCTTCCACCATAATGAACCTCCAAAATTTTTAAATTAATATTTGTTAGTGTACAAATGACGAGTTTGAGTATAAGATTTTCCTACAGTCGTGTCATGTTCAGATCAACCACTATTCTCTCACATTCCTCCCTTCCCACTGGTTCTCTCCCTCCCTGAAATTGTTCTCTCTCCCCCCCCCCTCTGTGTGTGTGTGCGTGCGTGCGTGCGTGTGTGTGTGTGTGTGTGTGTGTGTGTGTGTGTGTGTGTGGATTGAAGGCAAGAGCCAGGAAAGAGTTGGTTGCCTTGGGATGGACCATGCCTGTAGCTCTTGCTCTCTCTCTCTCTCTCTGTGTGTGTGTGTGTGTGTGTGTGTGTGTGTGTGTGTGTGTGTGTGTGTGTCGATTGAAGGCAGAAGCCAGGAAAGAGTTGGTTGCCTTGGGATGGACCATGCCTGTAGCTCTCGCTCTCTCTCTCTCTGTGTGTGTGTGTGTGTGTGTGTGTGTGTGTGTGTGTGTGTGTCGATTGAAGGCAGGAGCCAGGAAAGAGTTGGTTGCCTTGGAATGGACCATAGCCTGTAGCTCTCGCTCTCTCTCTCTCTCTCTCTCTGTGTGTGTGTGTGTGTGTGTGTGTGTGTGTGTGTGTGTGTGTGTAGATTGAAGGCAGGAGCCAGGAAAGATTTGGTTGCCTTGGGATGGACCATCGCCTGTAGCTCTCTCATCTCGTCTTCTCCATTACTCCACATAATGGCTACATTTCACTTACTGTGTCTAAAGTGTGTGCAAACTCCTGCCCAAATTCATTTTGATAAAGCCTCCTGGGATCTAACTGCAACAGAGTTCTAGAAGTACAGCAAGACGTCCCTGGCTGTCCTGAACCAGCTGAGACTGTGAAACTATTTACTTCTGGGATCTTCCATCCCTAGGGTTGTATCTAACAACTGTGATGGTATAGTTAAGATGCAAACATCAATAGAGAAGTGGAGAGAGGTAAAACCATGTCTCAGAGACTGAAGGGGCATCTGTTTTAACATCACACAGTCAGTTTCTCCTGAGGAAAATGTTCTTGTCTCAGGACACCACTGAGCTCACCACCTTAGAAAATGAGTTCAGTTCTTAGACACCTGGCCAGGCATGATCTTCAGCAAAGAGAGAGAAACATTGTCCAGATAAGTAAAATGGAGGCTATGGGGAATACCCTGGAGGAACAGCACAATTAGACATAACAAGATACAGAATGTATACAGAAGGTAAGATAGGGGTGGGTTTAAGAATTCACTTGAGTCTCAAAATGAAAGCTTACTAATACACAGTAATGAGTAAGTGATGGTGAAGATAAACTAAAAACAGTGATGGTGATGTCCTTGGCCAGGCACCTGCACCATTCTGATACCCTCATAGCAAACAGCACAGACTTGAGGACAGAGAGACAGTATTTCCTCAAGCTATAGTTCTCCATAGCCAACCACAGGAGACTTAGGTGGCAAAGACCCAGTGAACCCAAAGTGAGATGCTCTGCTCCTCGGAAGCCAGGGTCTTCCTTGGCTATGACATGCCTTTTATTAGCAGTCACTTAAGGGCACCACTAAGGCCAGACTGGAATACAAATGACTGAGAAGGATGCCTAATAACCTGACATATGACTTTCTGTGGAAGGGGGCCACTCCTAAACAGTGTGCCAGGGGTTTAGGTACAGGCTTCCGAGGCACCTGCTTCACAGTGGCATTTGAGGCACAAGAGTAAGTGCTACTGTTTTCAAGCTTCACTGGAGAGATCACCAGGCAGAAAGAAAGTTCTACAGACCTTGCTGTGTTTCACAAGAAATCGACCTTGAACAAAGTCTGCATAGTGGAAACTTGTGTCATCCCTATAAAGGATGAACTCAAAGGACAGGTCTTGCCTTTCGCGATACCAAAATAGGTCTGGATTGTGAAAATTCTCATTGTAAATGCAAAGCAGTGTTAGTTGGTTGCCACTTGCCACTGTTTTGTGGGGGGGAGCTCTGGGTCAATGTGATACTCAGGGCATCCTTGTCTGTGAAGAGGAAATGACACAATGGTAGGTTTTGCATTCCCAGACACTGAGCAGCCCAGGGGAACTCAGTGGAGAATAGGGATGGAGATGACAGGCAGAGAATGACTAGAAGTGAAGAATGAAAGAAAAAGGACCAAGCCTCTGAAGGTCAGGGAAACAGGAATGGGATGCAGAGCAAAAGAAAGAAACCTCTTACAGGAGAACAAAAGGCTGAGAGTCAAGCCAAGCATCATCCTTTCGGTGAGGGCAGGAGACATAACCTAGAGGAGGTCACCGGAGTCTATTGAGCCATCGCTGGGCTTTGGACAGGAAGGAGGTAGGAGGGAAATAGGAGGGGAGGGCGGCAGCCCCTCACATGACTAGATCAGTTGAAACTGTAAGGTCAGTGCCTTCACAAGCAGCTGTTGTAGTTTACAGAAATGTTGGTCTTCATCTAGAACTGGTACTTCTGACAATGAAAATGAATTGCTTAAAAAATATAAATAAATAAAGGTGAGGAGGGGTGGAGGGAAGGACAGAGGGGGGTTGAGAAAGTAGGATAAGGGAAGGAAACTGCAGTCCCCACGATGGCAAGCTTTGGCATACTTAATACATAAAGTAACTCACTCTCCATTCCTGTGTACTCTGATCCCAGACAGACACCAGTTCAGGAATCACACTCCAAGTAGCCCTGTTCCAGGGCACCTGACATCTGTATATCCACCTTATGGAGCTCAATAAACTGAACAAGTTAACAAGTACCTGTTTAGCATGCAATGTGTAAAATAAACGAGTAAGTCCTTTACTCCTCTGAATAAAGGTGGAAAAATGGTCAGACAAGATTGTTTCTAAAACCTTTTCCAGCCTTGGACCCTAGAAGTCTTTGGTGTCTCATGCTAGCAGGAATGCTTGCTGGTGCTGGCAGCATTTACTGTGTTACACCACATGGCTCCCTGTCTCTTGGAGCTGTCTACAGAGCTTCAAGTGTGCTCAGGTACTGTTCTGAGAAGCCCTGTATATGCCTGGCATGGCTGGAGCCCCTGAGCCACCCCCTTCCAGTCACATGCCTTAACGATACAGTTTTCCATGTAGACCATAACATGGTATCTAGGAAGCACTGCCCTGGTGTTAGAAATGCTAATTTACTCCTCAACCCCCACTGAGTTTCTACAAAGGCTCCTTTCCTCACCAGTAAGACCTGTTAGTGCCTCTAATCACCAGCCCATCTCCTTCTCCCATCCCCACTGCCCACTCCCACAAACATTGTCACCTCGTACAAGGACCTCTGCAAAGAGTCCCAACTTGTCCCCTTACATCTGCTGTCATCCTGAATCATCCATTTCCCAGGTCTTTAGAATGCCAGCTGCTCCTCTTTGTCTCTAAGACCCTGCAAAGCCCTAGCCCTTGCCTCCTTCCCAGCCTTACATGCATTCCTTGCTTTCTCGGTCTACCTCAGCTGTAATAGCCTTTCCTGGAGTGCTCCATCTGCTTCCGTTCCAGCAATCTAAGACTCTGACCCTAATTCTTCACTAACTTCACTCCAGTGAAATGGCCCTGGCCACTCCACTTAGTTACTTACCCACTGCCACCCTGGATTATAACTCTGTTGCAATTTCCCCTCAGATTGCTGTCTGAAATCATCAGATTTGTAGTATGTATGTATGTACGTATCTTCTTTCTTCAATCTCAACACGTATGCACTCGCACACACTTGCATGAGCTCCACAAGTCTAATGAAAATATTCATCTTTTCACTGATATGTCTCTAACCTCCAGTTTGCCTTTCAATTAATATA